TTCTGCATGGAGCACTGGGTGTGATACGCAAACAATGAATCATGGAACACTACATCAAAAATGAATGATGTAATGTATGGTGATTAACATAACATAATACAAAAAAAGAAAATATTTAATTTCTTGGGCATCTGCTATTTTTGCTTTTTTATTGGGTCAAGGCATTATATTTCTTCACAGCTCAACTCTGAAGTCTCTACACACCAAAGAGACACAAGGGCCATTAGAAATGCAAATCAAATGAACTTATTGTTAACGCTTTCTCAATAAAGTTTTGCCAGAGAGGCCTCAGGTTTTGCTCATGAAGCCTTAGAAGCATGAGTGGGGCCAGGGGTGCTTAATGTCTTGGGGTATATTTATTTCATGAGTCTCTTTCCTAATGATGGTGGGGTTACTAGTTCCAGAGCAAGATTTGAAGGGTTTGTATGGGCCCCACCCCCACCCTAATTCTTTGGCTTAGAGAAATTCTAGAGTAGGGAGCTAACTCTTTCCAGTTTGCCCTGGGATTTTCCCAGGCGTAGCACTTCAAAGTCCCTCATCCTGGGAAGCCCCTCAATCAAGGGCAAATGGGCAAATTGAGACAGTTTGTCACCTTATTCTGCAGTCTGAGAGAAGGTGGGAAATTATTTCAGCTCAGAGGATTCTGCTCCATAGACTCACATTGTTGGTGATATGATGATATATCACTGTATATAGCTCTCTGTGTGTGTGTATCTGTGTGTGTCTGTGTGTATACACACAATCAATTATCATTTTTCATGGTAGTTATATTCTATAAAGTCAGTGTGAACACTGAATTAGCAAATACAGAAGCATTGTTTCTAGGGGAAATACAGGGTTAGGTTCTCACAAGCCTCTGGTCATACATCTTCATCAACTGATGAGTACATAGCCTTGTTTTATGCGTGTTAAAGACATCTTAATATATATTGTTAATTCATTTAAATTGAACTCACAGCCAACAGCACTGTAACTCATGCTTGGATGAAGCTCATTGTAACACATGCATTTTCCCAATAAGGCACATCACAGCCTCCTTATACATGGGAACACTAGCCAGCACTTTAGCACTGCACTTGTGGGACATTTTAAACAGCAAAATCACCAGCAAAAAACAAAAAGATGAGAAAAATGTGGCACTAAATAGACCATGAAAAGAACAGACACTTGTTTACAGTATGAGAGCTGAAACAAGAAGGCAAAACAGCACCTTGTTCCACCTCAACTGGGAACCTGTGTGTCGGGTGACTCAAATTTTTTGCTGTTCTGTGCATGTCTGTGGATGACCTCAGAAGCACCTCAAGTATTGATCTGGTGTTACAAACACATTTTACAGGTGGGTGAATTCAGAAATATGAAACCAATGAGGAAGATAGAATGATGGATGGACGGATAGATGGATGGAAGGGAGGGAGGGAGAGAAGAAGGGAAATAGGTCAGGAGGTTAGTAGGATGATCTATCAATTTATCTCAGATCTCTGTGGATCTCCTATAAAAGGAAATATCTGCTTTTACCTTGGTTGGTCAGAGTTGAAATACATTCTAAATTGTTAACACAAGACTTTCCGTAAGCCATTGCAATCATGCCCAGAGAAATGCTAGTTCACCTTTACTAAGGTCAGATGGAGTTTAGTCTCTAGCACATGTCTTTTCTTGTACTTCCATCATCAGCAGATTCTCTTATTGCCTTTAAACTAATTGAAATTTTCTTTAAGTAGCAAGTTACTACACATCCAAATCCATTTGAAATGTGTTTTTCACCACATATTAATTCTTCTCCCCATTATAAGTTGTTTTGTATATGTGACCCAACTCGGGCATGCAGATTGAAGACTGGGGATAGCCATTTGCTTTTTGCTTACAACTCAGTTATTTATAAAAGAAGATGAAAATATGGGTAACATTGAAATTCCGAAATCCTTTTTTCTATCTTTCTTGGTTCTCCATATAAAAAGGAAAAAAAAAGATGTTAGAAAAATGCCATTAAAAAAAAAGGGATCCATTTGGTTTGGGATACTACACTATGGAGCCCTCCCTGAATGAGAATTATAACTCATTTATGAGAAAAAATTTAATCAGTGGGAATCACGTTGGAGCAGGAAGACGGTGTATGGTTCTTTGTCCTATTATACTAGAAGATTTTTGGTATCTTTTATTCTGTTTTCTATTCGGAATTTGAGGTATTAACCTTTAAGATAAAATTCCAAATATTCTATTCACTGATGAGTTTATAATCACCCTTTTTAGAAAATCCAAAATGGTGGCTGAGTCCAAGTCATAAGAGACCTGTTTGCATAGCTTTTCTGCTGGGTTCAGCTGGTCTGCCTGAGCAATGTGGTAAATTTCTCCATTCCAAGCACAGCTGGAGATTCATAGCTCTTTCTGAGATATCTTCGAGCAATGACCTAAATTGTTTCACTGCATAAAATCTCTTGAAAAAAGGACTCGTTAAGTATTTGGCTTTCCAGAAGCTTTCTTTCCTTCATGTAAAATAGAAATGTAAGAGACTAGCAAGGCAAATAAGAAGAGTATTGACTGTGTAAATTGTCAATAAATGTGAAAGATTTTCTTTGGATAAATATTCACAGAGAAAACCCCACCCTCACAGAACAGATTGGTGGCAGTACCACGTAAAGCCTGCACAGCGATACCTCATTTGTCTGAGCAGGCATGGGTGGTAGCGTGGTGGTCACAAAGTGGGCTCAGAGGCTCCTTCCTGAGTTTGAATTTTGGCACTGTGATGGCCAGTCATGGACCTCGGGCAAGTTGCTTAACTCTCAATGGCTTGGTTTATAAAACATTAATAAGCAGTGCCTGCCCCATCCAGCAGCTATGAGGATTCAATCAGTTAAAAACAAAGCATTCAGAACAATGCTTGGCAGGTGGAATGCTAAATAAATGTTAGCTATTATTGCTTGAGTGACAAAAATTGTAAATGCAAATGCAGGCATATTTTAATTACCACAAAAACTAAAACAAGCTGTCTCAGAAGCAATATATCTCCTCAAATTTTCCTGGTTAACTTATTTTGTGAATTGACAAAGGTTTGGAAGTTCTAGAAACGTCCAAAACCCCAATATCAGCTCAGTATCAGCAAATATGAGCCAGTGTACCAGTAACCTATAAAAAAAGTTTACCTAGAAGTGAAATATGCTCTACATTTTACTGAAAAAGTCTGTTTCCCTTTTTTAAGATGTTACATGATTAAATAAAAACACTGCACAAAGATTTTCTTAGTGAGGGCCAAGTTTTAGCTCATTATCTATAGTTATCTAGAGCTTTTTCTCTTTGCAATTATTCCCCAGTCTTTTTCAGTATTTTCCTGCATCTAACGTAAAAATATTCTACTATTTAAATGTTTCCAAACCTGCAAAAAGTTACTATTATTGAAGTAGGCAAGGCAGTAATGGTCAAGCTATCCAGTAATCTATAAATGCCAAGATAACAGTACAACTAATAAATTTTACTCTTTAAATGTTATGTTACCCAGAGATATGCCCTTCTAGCCTTAAAAATTAGCATAATGCTTGCACAGTAAGGAGGCATCAAATGTCATTAGTTCATAAATATCAAAAGCTAAACTTCAATACATTTTTTAGCAGAACATTGAGAGGGCAAGCTGCCTGAAATCTTCTTTTGTGGAACAAAGTAGAGAATAAATAAAAACATTGTTAATGTTCTGTTAGGCAGATAATCCTCAATTTTGAGCTGATTTTTTAAATAGCATTCCAAAAAGTCATATTCTTCAATGCCTCAATTTTTCTGTATATCAGCTTGGAGTAACTGAACATATTTTTGTTCCCACTGATAAATAAAAACTCAATTACAATGTAAATGTATTCACATATTCTAAATGATAATTTAATCCAATGTAAATGAAATAAGTTCCCCTCTTTTTCTTCTCATTTTTGATTCAGTTTGCATTATTTCATGAACACATAGTTTCTGTGGGCACATGGGAGAGTAATAAATCATGCCTAGTAAAAAACAATGCCATCTAGGCAAAACAATTTTAAAAAATGAACCCCCGTAATAAAAGTCAAGAAACAGCTGATGAAAACAGATGTATCCTTTGTTTTGAATGAACCTGAAAGTTTGTAACATGGCAAAAATTAAGGACCAATTGGACTCAGTTCAACTGCATACATTTGGCACAGAATGTAAACTCCACCCTTATTTAAAAAAAGTATAATTTTTGTATTTATAAACCAATTATGGCTTTTATTTAAATGCAAAACTTACTATGTCTTCCTTAGAAAGACTTAGGATTTAAAATACAAATCAGAGAATGTGAAAGGTAGCTTATCTTTATGTCTTGCTTTTTGAGACAATAATGTAGCCAAATGAATTATGTTTTTAGTATGATTGATTTTTTTAAAGGGCAAAACACTGGACATGATCTGCTGTCAGATAAAGTTTTCCAATTTAAAAATAAATTTGTTTTTTCCAAAATAGCATTCAGTGTGGCCACAGTTATATTTGAAAACCCAAATCGGTCTCCATCTGTCCTGAGGGTTTATTTTCCAATATTTTTTCTTTGCACTGACCCCCAAATACAGATGTTAAAGCTTGCAGAAGTCCTTCTAATTTGAGCTTCTAACATAGTGTTATTTTGTGGCTTGATAAAAGATTTAGAGGTTCTATAGTTTGGATTTACTCTAAAAACTGGGGGCTTGGGAATTTAGCCTCTTAAAGGTAAATCTTTTGTGTGGACTCAAGGGACCCAGAATGAATTATACTGAGCCAGGATTTCTTTTCTCACTACACCATGGTCCCTTCATGTAAACGACCTTTCACTGATTACCCTGAACAATGCTTCCACTATTTCTTTCACTTCCATTAAGCAAACATTTTGAAAGACCACTTGGGACTTTAACATTGAAACATTTCTAGAGAACTCAAGAAGCAGACCATCTTTAATTACACAATATCTGTTTAGCAAATGTAGTGTAATCACAAAATGATAGAAAAAGTAACCACAGACCTTCTGGCCCAATCATGGAAACCATTTTGAAGAAAGATGCTTATTATGGGCCTGAAAAGAAAAGAAAAAGAGAAGAGAAAAGAAGAGAAGAGAAGAGGAAAGAAGAGAAGAGGAGAAGGAAGGGAGAAAAGGGAAGGAAAGGAAAAGAAAAAAAGAGAAATTGTGTTTGAGCCTTTGCCAGGAAAAAAAAAATGCTTTTGTTCATTAGAAAAGGAACAATATGGTAAGATTTAACTCAGTTGAACTACACATCAGCTACAATTGAACTTTCCATAATTTACTCATTACATTACATAATTTATTCATTATATAATTAAACACTAGATGCCTATCTTTCTTTGCACCTACTTATTTTCATAAGAAATAGCCAAGATGTTTTATTCATGGTAGCTGAGATTTAACTCCTAAAATACAGGTTAGACAGAAATATATGAGTATTATTTCATTACTTATGGCAGAGAATAAATGGAAAAATGCAGTTTGCAAAAGTGTGAATCTTGCCTGAGATTGGCTAGGAGAGTTTGATATCATTTTTCTGGTACCCTGCTCCCCGTCCTCCCAATGCTTACCTCTCAGTTATTGGATTTTGCCTTGGGTTAATTATTTTTGGTCTCATAGCAACTACGTTTTCATAGTGAACTGCCTTAACTTCTTGCTGACATAAATAAATTTATTTAACTTTATTTAAACTTAACTGGCATAAATAAACAAGTAAATAAAAATATGCAAACAAATTGCAGCAAATAGGATGGGGTTTTGAAGGTATGTCAGACCATGGTGTGCCCAAAAGTTTTGAAAATCACTGGACTGAAGAAAAGGATTACTTTCCAAATTGTTTTCCACTTATCTGTGAGCTGACTTCTAGCAACAGTGGCAAAAGAGTACAACAGCCTTTTAGGATTTTTAGATGGAGTTGTGTTGAGATCTTGATGGACTCATCTTTTGTCTTATTCCGTTCAGGTTGCTATAACAAAACATCACATACCAGGTGGCTTAGAAGCCACAAACACTTATTTTTCACAGTTCTGCAGGCTAGCAAGTCCATGGTCATGGTGCTGGTAGATGTCGTACTTGGTTCCATGGAGGATGGGGGCAAGAGAGCTCTCTTGGACCTCTTTTATAGGGGAACTAATCCCATTCATGAGGTCTCCATCCTCATGATCTAATCACCTCCCCAAGGCTCCACCTCCTAATACCAACACTTTGGGGGTTAGGTTTCAACATATGAATTGGGTGGGGTGAGGGCTGCACATTCAGATCATAGCATGGTTTAATCTTGCCATTTCTCAACAGCAGAACAGAAGAGTCACCTCATTGTATCTACTGTGTCCACTTTATCTACTAAATGGGATACTAAAATCCATGCATCTTGCTTTCAAGGTCATTCTCACTCTCCAAGGTGAGGGAAGGTAGAATATTTCCTTCAGAAAATCTTTGTAACTTCTACTGTTTCCTTTCATCACCCCTCTTCCCTGCCAATTGAATTTGTATCTACGAGACACGAAGGAAAGAAGGTTTGTAACCAAATAGTGCTTCGGGAATGTAGAACTGTCATAGAGAAGGTGGGCTCTGGGAAGGTTTTGAAGGAAGAAAGCGACTTTTGAATGAGATAGGGACCCTCATCACAAAGAATTCTACCTGCAGCTGAAGGAAGTTTGCCCTCCAAAGCAGAAGTCAGTACAAGAAATAGTCCTAGAGAATGGAGAGTGCAGTAGGGGTTTAGCATAATTCTGGGATTTATAAAATCAACCATACTTAGTAAATAAAGATTTCAATGATGAGATAGTTAGGACAATTTGTCTTCCACTTTTCTGGGTGAACTGCCAGATATTTGAACCTCTATAGGATCTACATAGCCTTGGTGGTTGATCATTTCCATTTACTCATGTTCTGGGAACATTTATTTTCCAGTCATCTCAAATGAACTAGTCTTAAATTGCAACAACTATGTCTTTACTTTAGATTTATTACTTAACAAGAAAAAAACAATGTCAAGACACCCTTCTCAGTGTCATTTCTTAGGTGTTCTCTTCACGTACTTATGTATTCATGTAGATAACAAGTACCATTCTGGTTCATGCTAAGAACTCTAACATGAACATTTCAGTGTGACAGTCCATTGATCAGTCAGCTGTCAGATGTATCTTTTCTCAGGGGTTTTAGCTCAGTCCATATGAACCAATATCAAGGCCCCAGCTCCTACTCGCTACAAAATAAATCCAGGCTTAAATTTTTTGATAAATAAATCTCTGAGGGATTTTACAGCAGATAAATCCTGCAGGACCTGGCTCCTTGAGACCAGTGCCTCTTAAACTTTCACGTGTGTACACATTACCTGGGGATCTAAACTGTGAATTCTGATTTCTAGGTGATGGCCAATGCTCCTAGTCTGGGGACCATGCTTTGGCCACCACACAGGAAGCAGACTGACAGATTCTGAAAACTAGTAGCCACCAGCCATGACTGGAACTCAATGCCTATAGATCTCCTGGCCCCCCTTAAACACAACCTGCCATGTCATCAGCTGCCATTTACTAGTAAAAGATACTGATGCTAAGTCAAGTTCCAGTCTAAATGAATGAAAAGCAGATGCAACCAGAAAAAAATCAAATGCTAAGCTCCATGTTACAGATGTGTTCAGAGCAGAGGAGATCTCAATGGCCTGGGGAGGCATGGAAATGCCTTTTCCTTGGACCAGGATCCCTGAGATGATTGAAGTGCCAATCAACTACTTGGAAACTGCAGGAGATCAGCACGGGAGTAGAAGAGAAGTACAGAAGGAAAGTAGCTCACAAAGGGTACCTGGGAATTCTGGGGAAAGGAGATCTCATTTGAGGCATATACCTCAACCACTGGTTGAGCACTGCTGGGGGAGTGTTGACTCCTCACATCTCCATCCTGTCACGCATGTTAGCACAGTGGCTTGTGAAGGTGAGGAAAGCCATAGGCAAAGAAATGCAGATGTGGGCAGGTGAAGTAGCCAGCTTAAGCTGAAGTGATTAAAGTCTGAGAGGAAATGGATGGGGTCAGGACTGCTGCTGCCTTCTTAAAAAAGCAGGAGGATTTGAGCTGGAATTAACAACTACTTCATCCTCTCAACCCTCCTGCTGCCAAGGCTCAGTTGTCCTTCGGGTGAACCCAGGATTCCATCACTTCTTGAGTTCAAAGCTAAAGGGAAAGTCACTGAGTGGGAGTTTTCTACTTTCCTCGGGCAAATACACTCACCTACTTCCTCACAGATATCTCTGCAAGAAAGTCAAATGCCCCCTTGGAAGAAAGGAGATCAGATCTGTGGGGACCGGGCTGCCATTCTTGGGGTTCAATCCTAAGGGGAGACTGGTTAGGCAGAGGTAACTTCTAGGTATTGCTGCTGTATCATTAGGTTTGTCAAGTTGCCCAGCTCACAGAGGAACTGAGAGCCCTTTGTGGATTTGGTCAGTTGGCCTAAATTACAGTTGATAATTACAAGACATTGTTGAAAATTGTTGCAACATGTAACTTTTGTAACCATTATTTACTACTCTGCGTTTGCAACTATTTGTGGGGACTGTTTGTCCTTTTACCAGGCTCTTTAGTTTCTTGGGAACTCTGAGGTACACAGTATTCATTTACTTGTCGGCAATATGAAGGGAAACAAAATACGGTTCCAAGGTCATCTGAGCACCGGTGATGAATAACTTTGGAGAGACAAGGTAGAAGACGGGAACTATCTGTTAATCAATGAGGAATTTTCATAATCTAGCCCCAGTCTACCGACCAGCCTCTTCTTCTCCTCCATAATTCATTCAGTGCTCCAGGCACTCGAAATTCTTCATGGTTTCCAAGAGACTCAAGGTCTTTCCCCAGCTGCTTGCTATCATCTGGCAAACCAAGATTATGTAACACTCTCCTAGGTTCCCCCATGCAGTTACTTGCTTCCTTCTTGATCCAGTTCAGAATGAAGTAGTAACACACACCAAATTAAATTCAAATCATCTGTTTGTACATCTCCCTTGGCCCACATTCGCTGAGAGCCCCTCTAGGGCAAGGACCACATTTTTCTCTTCTCTGTGTCCCCATCATCGGCACTGGGACTTGTACTGAGAAGGAATCAGCAACTCAAACCTGTACCACGGAGGGAGGGAGGATGTGGAATATCAGCACCATTATTTGAAAGCATATTTTGTATATACTCAAAGGTTTTTTTGGTTTTGTTTTCCTTACACTTGGAAGAGGTTTTTTATTGATACTATTTACAATCAGCATGTCATCTTTTCACAATATAAAAAACAATAAAGCATTTTGGGGGGAAATGTCTTCCCCAACTGATGACAACTCTGTAGTGTTCAGCAGCAGCTCGCTGGCACCAATCAAGGCTTAAGAAAATGAATCTCCAACGTTACTGAGTCTTCCAAAGTTTTAACTAAATTCTCCATCTTTGGGGAAAGTGTCGTTTTAAGTCACAGGTTCTTCCTCTTGTAGAGTGGCCCCCAGATCCTTTAGTCTTGATTTGCAAGCTAAAGGAGCAAATCATCCATCCAGCTCCTATTTCCCAGGATGTTTTTCCACAGTCAGGATGAGGACAGTAATGGGGTTGTCAGTTGACTTTGTCATTCTTTCCCTTTTCCTCCTGAAAGTGTTTTTGTGGAAACCCTGCCGGATGTCACAGAAATGCGACCTGGGCAAGATGTGTGTCTCTTCTTTACTTGAAAAGGGTCCAGGACTCTGAGCCCAGAGAGGATGTAATAAACACACCGTGGTGCTTGGCCAGCATATTCCAGCCAGTTAGAAAAACAAGGCAGAAGACACAGGATTTAACACCCACATGGCAGCGGCTGCCCTGGCAGGGCATGCCATTTGATTCTTCACAGGTGCGGACTGTTGGTCTCGAGCTAAGGAAAACAACTGGCCATAGCATCCTTCCAAGTGCTCGATCATTTTAAAGAGCACTTGAAAGCATCCCGTCTCTGTTTCCACCACATCGGTCTGCTGCCTTGTGCCTCTGGCACGGGGGAAAAAAACATGGCTATGGAGTGTGTGCTATATACCAGTGTGTACCTTCCAATGAGGCT